GAATGCCCTCTGTGAGAAGAGACCAGGGGCTGTCCTATACTGGATGCAGCTGGTTCCAGACATTTTCAACTGGTTCCAGCCAGCTGTTCCTGTCTTGACTCACAATCCTTTTTCTCTTATTTCCTCCTCCCCTCCTATTGAAAAGGGTGAGTGAGACAGTGGCTGGGTGGGTGGGCATCTAGCAGCCAGCCTAAGTTACCCCACCACATAAAGTAAGGGAGATAATTTGCATCTTTAAGTTAATCCTTGCTATGTTTCATCTATGCTTTCTTCCTCTTAGATCTAGTGGATAGGATTACAGATTTTTTTTTTTTTTTTGTATGTGATATTACTACTTACTATTCTGCTTATTATTTGGCATTGAAATAAGTCAAAGACTGTTCTGCATGTTAGTTTTTTCATATAGAAGAGGTTTTGGGAAAAGAAGGGAATTAGTCCTCCTGTAGATACACCTGAGCTTAGTTAGATGGGACAAGTATCTGGAATGCAGTGTGCACCAGGCAAAGAAAGAAAGGGAGACTGTGGCATTACTGCAGATTGATGAAGAGAAGGGAGCTGGGAAAGCAGGGAAGGAATTCTCTTGGTTCACGGAGGTGATGGCAAGAGGGAGACCTGGTGAGGAAGATGGCACTGTTGGAAGAGGAGAATTTTCTATTGTTGGAATAAGCCTAATTAAATCAGCAAAATTAATTTACTGGCAAGGATTGATTTGGTTTGGGTTACTCAATTCTACAGCCACGTGGTCTTTAAAACATTTATTTTTTTCCTTATTAATGATCTAATATATTGTTGCCATTATTATGAGAACCAAAATCTTCAATGTCACTTTTTTGTTCTTTTTATTTTTAATGAGCCTACCTTTCTTCTTTTTTTTGTTAAGGGATAGAAGAAGCAGTCTAAAAATCTGCATGAAATTACATAGCTATACAATTATGTAAATTTCCTTTCTAAAACTCAGTTATCAGTTTATAACTTAGTATTTAGCTTATTAAAACTACTATATCTTTGATGATTAGCAGTTGCAAGGAGACTAAGAACCTTAGAGGAAGGAGGTTTTCTCCTTATTCCAGATAAAGTTCAAAACAATAACATTCTAATATTTTTTACATTATTGTGATTTTTTTCCTGATTTTAACCAGACAGATTTCAAGAAGATCTACTTATACTTGTTTATCTTTGATCAGTTTACAAACATAAATTCTTTTTTTAAAAATAAAATAAACTGACTTACTCGAATGCTTCTTTTTAAAATTGTTATTAAGCAATATTGTTACTCTTTGTAAATTTATTGCTTTCATTCAACTAAATTAAGTGAAAGTACATAAAATGTCAGCAATACATACTTTATTTAAGCCACTCATCCTTAATTAGATAAATTCACACTGGAATGTCATTCTGAAAGCTTTCCTTTTCTCCTTAAAATTCCGGACTCTGCAGTCAAGGGGAAAGGTTTGGTTAGAAGCAGATGCCTCCTGCAGGTCAACACCTGGCCGAACAGCTGGTGCAGTCAGATAGGCAGGGCTTAGGCTTTTACAGCCACTGGATCCTCTTTGAGGATTGATGGCAGCTGGGGAGAGATGAGATTTAAGAGAAAATAACAGGTGACATCTTAGGCAACAGACTTACTGACCCTGTGAGAAGGGCTTCAAGCAATGTTAGCTTGGAGCTGGAGTCAAAGTGGGGACTAGAGAAAAAATCATCTAGGGAAAAACACTTCCACCAGAAAGTGGTACAACTAGGGACCCATCTCAAGTGCCTAGACACAGATGTAAACAGTGTGGGAAACAGCCAGAAGGTATAGACGCAGTTGCAATGCTATGACTTTACTATGATCACAGAGATGTGCTGGGATTAGCCTGGGGTGCTTGTGAAGGATGAATAGAGATTCTTTAGTGAGAACAGGTGGGCAGGGGGGATAGCTGCACTGCACACAAAGGAGTACTTTGAACTAAAACTTTGCTATTGAATGAGCAATGAACTGGTCAGGATCTTAAGGGCTGGGATCAGAGAAGAGGCGAGCAATAGGGGGACGGTGATCAGAGTCTGCTACAAACTAGAAGATCAAGAAAAGGAAGTGGATGAAGCCTGCCTTAACCAACCAGAGGAAGCAACATGACCACAGGTCCTGACCTTCATGGAGGAATTCAACCATTCCAGCAGTGACGTTAGTGGTGGGCTAACATGACAGGACACAAACAATCTAGGAGAGTAATGAAATGCATTGACGATAAATTTTTTATGCAGGTGATGAAGGAGCTGAATAGGGGAGATGCTCTGCTGGAGCTGCTGCTCATAAATAGGGAAGAACTGGTTGAG